AGTGCTTTTCCTTTATATACCATGGGCAAATCCGGGACACCTGGAATTACCAGGACGTCTATTTTCTCCCGGCAGAGTACTCTGTCCTGTCATTGGACCTGTCTCTAACTTGAGTAGCCGGTCAGTTAGGACCATGGAGGTGGCGGTGACTGTGGCTGCAGCTTTGCCTGGCTACAGCCTCGAGAAGTAGCTAGTCTTTCCACCTGATAACAAGGTGTGTGACTCGTGCCTTCATCGCTCCAGGTTGCCACATAACTGCATATATTCCTCTCACTTCCTCATGACAAACCTGTTCTATGGCAGAGCACAAGGGCCTAAGCCAGCATGGGAGAGATTGACCCAGTATCACACAGAGCAGGTGAGAGCCAGGGTCTCCAAACCCACTATGGGAGAGCCTTGGCCGGTACATGTTGAATATTCCTAATCTGAAAATCCAGAATCCAAAATCCAGAACTCTGAGCACCGACATTATGCCCCAAGTAGAAAATTCCACACCTGACCTCAATGACAGGTTGCAGTCAAAGCTTTGTTTTACGTCCAAAATTATTTCAAATATTGTATAAAATTACCTTTAGGCTATATATATACAAAGTGTATATGAAACAGAAATCAATTCATATTTAGACTTGGGTCCTGTTCCCAGGATATCTCATTATGTATATGCAAATAGTCCAAAACTAAAAAAATTCAAAATTTGAAACACTTCTGGTCCAAGCATTTTGGATAAGGGATACTCTGCTTGTATCACATGGATCAAGTGAGAGTGAAGGTTTTAACAAGAATTTTCTGAATTCATATTAAGTGCTCTTTCTAGGACACAAAAATGCCTCTTTTTGTAACACTGTAGTGGCAGGAATCATTTTCTTGAAATTTACTTAGTTGACAAATCTCTCAGTGGCTAAGCTCAGGTTTGTCTTGTTAACACATTTTAATAGGTCATCTGCTGACTCAGAAAACATGAGAACTCACAGGAGAAATTCCTCCCCCTTGGGGTAATACCAGTGAAAAGATGTTTTCAAAGATTTCAGTGGTTCTGCTGCTTTCCTTACATGAAAACCCAAGCTAGGTCTTCCCGCCTATTCCGCTTTCCTGTTTTTTTTTGTTTGTTTTGCGTGGAACTGTAGAAATTGGGCATACCCTCTTGAGCATCCCAGGTATAGAAGGGGTTGGATTAAAAGCCTTATAAAAATTTCAAGCAGGAATTAGTAGGAAGCCTCATTTCAGAAGTATTTCTTCAGAGAAATCTATCTGTGGGAAGTCAGACTGTATTTTGTCTATTCAAATTGGAATGCCTCTGGAATGAAAATGGGCCCTGCCCAGAATATCAAAGCTGTAGTTTAGTCGCAGTGCATCTTCAGGAAGTCTCAGTTTTACTCAAGGAATTAGGAGAAGAAATATGTTCGTATTAAAACCAACACATGCATATTACAGAATGGAATACAAAGTTTGTATGATTGCGTAAAACAGTTGCCCTAAAAGAACTTCAGGTTTCTGTTGTAGGCCACATAGAGCCACACTGTCTTACTTGGGGATTATGCTGTTTAGTCTCTGCCACAAGGGCCTTTCACCAGCTAAGCTCTAGATCTTACAACTTCTAATAAAGTGGTCATTTTACTTAAATCTGAAAAACGTGTGTGGGCTGTGCTACAGGAAGGGAGCTAGCAGTTACTTAGTGCCAGGTGCTGCAATGGATGGTTTTTCCTGTGTCATTTAATACACTCTACCTCTGTGAGAGAGGATTTCGTTTTCATGATGAGGAAGTCGGTCCCTGAGACATAGAGAAGACTTTTGCTCGGCCTGAAATCCAGGTGTTATATATTACTTACCAAAGGTATTCCAATTCAGTCATTCATTTGTCATAAATGATCTAATCAGGAGTTTTCTTCATGTTTTTGTCCTTAAAATTTTTTTAGCGTGGACATTTTTAACGGGAGGGAGCATACGCAGAAAAAGTCTGTAGAGAAAAAGGCTTTTTAAGGGCTTTAACAGAGTCGTGTTTTTAGTAATTTGTCAAAAAGTAAAGGATGTTATGGCCCCATTTTATGTTCACATACCAGTTTCATTTTGATGATACAAAATTATAAACACACAGATCTCAACAGATAGATAGATAGATAGATAGATAGATAGATAGATAGATAGATAGATAGATAGATAGATAGATCGATCCTGAAAATACCTGTTTTGGGGAATGTGGACTACCTCAAGCTTGCCACATACTGGCTTTCAAATCCCAGCATAGTTCTCGATTTAGAATAACTTTCAGTCTGCATGGTCTTGATTCATCGGGTAATAGTTATTTTTTAATCTATTCTGCTCTCCCCTCAGATATCACTTCCTGCAAGGCTATTTTGGTAGCACGTAACTTTTCATTCTTTTAATCAGAGTGCTAATGTAATAGGCAGTTTGCCACTGGATTGCAGGGTGATTAAATTTGTAATTTAAGTTAAAATATCCTTTAACTGTTACTGAATATAAGTAACCCATACACTTCAATGTACTGTTTTAAGCTCTTATTTTGAGTAAATTAAGAGAGTCTCATTTTTTTCATTAATGCTTTGTGAATGGTGGGAGTAAAGCAACATAGCTTTGAAGAGCAAAACAATTTATGTTTTGGAAATGGAAATATGTGAATTAGCCAAAGAGTGGAAGGAAACTGCCTTGATTACACTGGTGCTGGTTAATTTGCCTTCCTTTACGAATAGTAACTAATGAGCTGAACACAGGGAGAGGCTCCTTGCTTAGTGCATTCCAGATTTAGAAGAATAGAGGTTTTTAAGAAGAAAATGCCTGTTTATAGATTTATAAAAAATGATGAAAATGATAATTGTTGTGATTTCTTAAAATATACTTCTATTTAAAAGAACTAATGGACTCTACCATTGTGTAACACTCTCTTGCTCCGCACTTACTTTTAATTGGGGCTAGAAAATATTAACATAACTTAGTTTGTGCTTTGTGGGATAAGGATAACACCCATATTGCATTAATGCAATTTTACATTCTACCCTAAATTACTTTTCTGTAGAATATTTAATATTCTCACTTGCTTTATTTTGCTATTTTTGTTTGGGCGCTATTTCTCCTAGTTCTCCTAGTTTTTCCTGACCCCTGAAATCCTTGTTGAACGTTTCCATCCTTTCCTCTGGCCCCTCATGCAGGAAGCCCACGGGGAGCTGTGGCTGGTTCTGTCAACTCAGGGGCAAGGCATCACCGATGGCTTCCTTCTGGGTTCTTAGTGGCATCTCCTCCTGCTATAACCCCCCTAAAAGCCAGTCATCCTAACATCCCTCAGGGGTATGGATAGGTTGTCTTTAGAGACAGTTCAATTATTTGTCTCTTTGAGAAGGCAATTATAATTTTTTTCTAAGATGTTTTATTATTGTTTATTGACATGAAAAAGCCTAATAACACAGGTTAATTTATTCTTTCTCACCAGATACAGTGTTTTCTTCACAGAAGTCAAGGGAGAGTGAAGTTGTTAGATTTTTATTTAAAAAAAAAAATGCAAACACAGTTCAAATCCCAGCAGCTAACATTCTTATATTTCTGCTACAAAAAATGTATAGACAAACTGCTAATTCTGTAGAAATTGAAACACATAGGAATTTTCTGTAAGGGATTCCTGAAGTGGTTAGAGATTGAACTAGATGGCTTTAAGTTTCATTTTAATCCTATAAACATTGATTACTTCTTCATGATGTATGATAATAGAGCTGTGGGTGTTCCTGTAGCACAGGTCTATGCAGATAAGTAAATGGAGAACACAATTTTCAAAGTTGCCATTATTTTAGACTAGAATAACAGAAAAGCTGTGTATCTGAGACAAAAAGGGTGAGTCTTTCTGTTCTTCACTGGTTGTTAATCCAGGGTTCCTCTTTAGGAAAGGTATTTTCAACCTATGGTACATAGAGATGTGAGCAGAAGGATAAAGGAGCTAAAAATTGTAAAGAAGAGACTTAGGTATTTGAAGGACATCCTTAAGTATTTGAATGATACGAAGGAAAAGTATCTTTTTGTGTTGTTTCAAAAAGGCAGAACTTGAATGACCAAAAAGAGAAAAACAGTCAGGTAATGAATTGTTAACATAAGGACTTCTTGACTTGTGGTTACCTGAAAACAGAATGGATTGTATTGACTGAGAGTTCAACATTAGGTCCAGACAGAAGAGCGTGAGATAGGAGGGTGAGATAGGGCTCCTTCCCATCTCCGTTTCAGGGTCCATGGTGCAGACTGTAGGGTGCTCCCATCTCAGTCTCAGGGTCCATGGTGCAGACCGTAGGGTGCTCCCATCTCAGTTTCAGGGTCCATGGTGCAGACCGTAGGGTGCTTCCATCTCAGTTTCAGGGTCCATGGTGCAGAGTGTAGGGTGCTCCTGAGTCAGGAGGAAATTCTTGAATCCAGGGTGGGATCTGGAGGGACCTGATGGCAAAGGGCAGAGGAAAGAGAGTGGCAGGCCTTGGTCCCCAGGCAAGACCGATGACTGCCCGGCCCACTGGAGTCACATATGCTGCTTCTGTCTCACCTATGCAGAGGCAAGTGGGGGCCTCCCTCTTCTACAAGACATTCATAGTGGAAATTGAAAAGGGAGAGGGAAAGAGGTGTTTAAGTGTGTTCTGCAGGCCCATCAAGTGGGGCCTATCTGTTTGAGCCTGTTAAGTTACGTGAACGGGTTAACTAATATTGTTCCAGTAAAAGAATTGTGCTTGTTGAATGTGTGAATGTAGATGATAAATTCCATCTTATAGCCATGATTAATGGAGGAATAACTCTGGGATTTGTGACAACAGTTTTTAGGTAATTTATTTTAAAACTGTAGAGCTAAAAAAATGTAAAAAGTTTTATCTTCCAACAGTGATTTTAACCTGGTATTTTGTATTTAACTTTCTGTGTGTGTGTATGTGTATATGTGTGTCTACTTGTCTTAATGTGTGCATTTTATGTCTTGTGCTGGTGGAGTTTGTGGAGGGAGATTAATGTCAGCCTGTTGTTAGTTGCAGGACGAGGAGCGGAGGCGGCAGCAGCAGTTAGAAGAGATGCGCAAGCGGGAAGCGGAAGACCGAGCGAGGCAAGAGGAAGAGCGCCGGCGGCAGGAGGAGGAGCGAACAAAACGAGACGCTGAAGAAAAGGTTATGGTCCTCTAAGGGCAGCTAGAATTTTACCAAGTTAGCCTGAACGTAATCGATTGGCTGGGGCAGAGCGGGCTGGAAGTTCTGTGTGTCTTAAGAAGCACAAGGCAGAGCAGGGCCTGGCTCCCCCAGCTTTGTGATTGGACCAGCAACTTTACCCCGTCTGGCCCACCTACCTCTCTTCTGGACTGTCTCCAGATCCCCTTATCTGCCAAGTTTTGTCTTCCTCAAACTTCTGAACTCTTGGGTGTGTGTAGCAGTGAGCCTCTTTGCAAAGGGTTCGTTTCCTCGGGCACTCATCTTTACTGGACATGGCCCAGCTTGTCATTGTGAAGGTGACATTTGTTCAGTGATTGCTTAAATGGCATGTGGACCGTGGGAAGCAGTAGAAGCATAGTAAGACAGTTGGCTGCCATTCAACATTTCAAATAGATGGTTTACTAAAATCACTCACTTCTGGTTGATGGTAAAGAGAGCAGATGGCTTAGAAAACATGATACAGGAAAATTTAGTATGTAATCCAGTAAATATTCTGAGTTACTTATTTTCATTTGTGTGTGTGTGTTTTTAAGTCAAGTAACCCTTTTAATTGAATTTTAAAATGACAGCGAATTTTGACATTCTGAGAAATGGGGATTTTGAGATGTTTCTCTCCATATCTCCCTTCGTCCTGTGTGTGGCCAATGCCCTCTGGATGAAGAGGCTGTAGCCATTGAGCTCCCTGTGGGGGCCTGTTTCATCCCGAGGGGACTGCGTGTTGCTCTGTGTGGTTTGAGAGAAACTGCTCTTCTCTGTTACTTCCCTTCTGTGAAGGTAGAAGCTTTCAGTGTTACAACTTCTGATGGCGGAAAATTTAGTTTTTATTAATAATTCCTTCTTCGATAGTCTAGTGAACTATATTAATAGAACAGTGTACTGTTCACAGAAAAGAACTTGTAGGGAGTTTTTTGTAGTGATATGATCTATTAGGATATAGAGCAATCTAAGAGTAAGCTTGATAGACATGATGTGACTTCACTTAAATGGAGTAGAGTGAATAAGGACACTCACCTGTGTTGAAATTGGTGATTTCTGCATTTCGTAGACCTTTGCCCTCTAAGTTTATTATCATATTATCTGTTGACTCTGAATAGCGTTTGAAGTCCTTTCAAAGAGTTTGAGCTTTCAGGATTAGGTTCCCCTATGAGTCTTTCACTTGTGTAATGGTAAGTCAACATTGATGATCTTTCTAAGGAAATCAGATTTCCAAAATGCTGAGCCGCTTGATGTCTGAGTGTTGACGGTGTTTGCTGCTGCTTTGCTGTTCCGTGAAAGCACTCCCTGGCTGCTTGGAGGGCTGTATTTTTCCAGGTCAGTGCCAGCTTGGCTGTCCCAGGCCCTGCACAGTGCCCATTGTTACAGCTGGGCCCAGTCCTGGCCACGCTGGAGCCTCGACGGGGGCAGCTGGGTTGTCACGGCAGCAGAGAGGACCAGGCCATGTTTTTCCTATGTTGAGAAACTCTTGGGTTATTTAATTTTTCCAATGTGTTTTCATAACTCATGATTATGTCAAATACACTTGTGTTAGTAACTGCTTCTATAATTAAGTGGTCACTGTAAAAAGAAGGCGAATAACCTATTTTTATATCAGAATGTCCAAAACTCATGGGTTTGCTTTGTTATAGAAAAATGTGCCATTCATTTGTTGGGTAGAATAAAGTCGTCCTGTAATTGTATCTGCTCTTGGTATAACTAAAAGAGGATGTTTTGATTTCTCCCTAAAATGTTATCAAGCAACTGTTCTTCATGTTAATACCAAGATTCTTGATAGTTCCATTTAAAAGCCACAAGAAGTCATTCTGATTTATTCCTCACTCCAAGGGAACACTTACTCTGTGTAGACAAGAAAATGAGAGTCTTCCTTCAGGATTTCTGAACATAGAGCAAGAAGATTCAATGAGAAATTGGGCTCAGGGCAGTAATTGGGCTGGCATTTATTCTTAAGAGTTTTCTCCCTCAAAAGGTGGAGTGATATTGCATATTCACTCGTGTGTGTGTGTGTGTGTGTGTGTGTGTGTGTGTGTGTGGCTCTAGAGGGAGTAGGGAGAAAATACAGCATGAAATTGAAAATAGGACTAACAACTTTTCACTGAATGCCAGCAAGGTCTCTCAAATTAGTTTTCTTCGGTTGAACGAATTTAAAATTCATTGTACTTCATTTCACAGCATTAAACATTTACTCGAGGCAGTTTATTCTGTTTGCTCTTTCATCCCCCTTATTTACTTTTTTCTTGTGCTCTAAAACTTTTGTCAATCTTTAACAAAACTGTGCTGTTACCTTTTTTTAATGTTAAAATAATTTTAACACTGTCAACTGTAGTTTGTGCAGATGTATGTGAGAAAAACATGTACAGTATGTGTCAAAATATATTTGAATCTCTTGTTGCTGTTGCTGTTAATTCCTGGCTCTCTAATTTTCTGTCTGTCAGGGAGTTCATTAAGATTTGAAATATAAGTTAAGAACTATGGAAAGCATATTTGTTAGATTGTTACTTTGGGAGAATGAGTGTTTTTTGGGTTTTTTTTTTTTTTTTTTTTTCATTTCTGGTTTCCTGTTGATCTCCTTCCTAGTAACCGGAAGTAGACAGGGTGGTTCAGTCACTTCCTCCTTGTCCAGGAAGGACTGCTCCTCTGCATTCATGGGGGCTCAGTGAAAAAGAACGCAAGTTTGCCTTTCGGAAAGTGCTGGCTATAGAAAGCCAGTCACAGCCTATTTTTAGTTTTGCGTTATCTTTAAACACTGCAGTAACAGGTAAGTTCATATCCTGCCAAAATCAGAAGAGGAGAGAGAGAAAGAAGTAACAGGAGCATGGAGGAAGGAAAGAAGGAAAGCAGAGGAGAATTCAGTCCACTGGGATAATGGAGAGGCATAAGTGACTGGGAAGCAGGAGGCTGAGAATTAATCCATTCCGTGCTTTTGAGCAGTTTTCTGTCAAATAATCCAGAATAGTGTTAATGACTTGTAAGCCTAGGGAGAAGACTCCGGATGGACCTGCTGCTTCTGTTATATAGTAATTTTGTAACTATTCAACTTTGATGTCAGTGTGATGATGAGGATTGTTCCCTTTGAAGGCCCAGTGGGTCGGCTGCTCCCTTCTGACCTCTGACCTTTGCACTCTTGTCTATTCCCGCCCGCAGAGGCGACAGGAAGAAGGGTATTACAGCCGCCTGGAAGCTGAGAGGCGCAGACAGCACGACGAGGCGGCGCGCAGGTTGCTGGAGCCCGAGGCACCTGGTCTGTGCCGCCCTCCGCTTCCGCGGGACTACGAGCCCCCATCCCCGTCCCCTGCGCCCGGCGCCCCTCCTCCCCCGCCTCAGCGAAACGCCTCCTACCTCAAAACCCAGGTCCTCTCCCCCGACTCGCTGTTCACTGCCAAGTTTGTTGCATACAATGAGGAGGAGGAGGAGGAGGACTGCAGCCTAGCAGGTCAGGATAAGTACTCCAGCACGAGAGTGTCTCATGGGGACCTTCTTCCTGCCCCTCTTAAACCACGGCCACCCCCCTGCCAGCCACGTCCGGCCTCCGATGGCATCTTTCTCTCGAACTCATTCCAGCCATCCCCAGCCAAAGCCAACAGTACTGCTCACAAAAAAGGCCAGCCCCCGCCCCCTCCAAAAAAATCCAGCTCCTACCATCCCAGCCACTGCAAAGGTAGAGGTAAAAGAGTGACAAATCAGCGCTCGTTGTCTTAATGATTGGAACCTCAGCATCTCTCTGCACACTTGCCCTGTAGTATGGTCCATGGCGATCGTACTTGCTTTGGAATTTGGATGTCACATGATCACTGGTCTCAGCATGGTGATCCTCCTCTGCCTCTGATTGTAATGTTCTTTGCTATTACTCTTTGGTAGATATCTTAGTACTCCGATATCTTTTGCACTTTAAAAAGTTCCATTTCTCTGATCAGCTGACAATCAGTCCTTCTGTGTTGTTCCCAAATCACTTGAAGTACTGTTGGTCTTGGCTTTCATTTTCTCTCTCTACAAATGACCTTATATTTGTTTGAACAAGTGCCTTTTCACACATTGTAGTGTCTCTAAAGACAAAGTGTTATAATTACATTGTAAGTTTCCATTATTTAATATTGGTAGAACTTTCTGTTCTGGATTAAGTAGCCTGTGGAATAAATCATGCATTCTCATGGTGGTTTGGTTGGTGTGGCCGGAGCATCTGCTAAGCTGGTTAACTGTTGGCTTCATAATCTCCGTGCAGGCTGCCTCACGCCAGAGTCCAGAGACCCCAGTTACAGTGAAATTCCTCTCATCCCCCTTTCCTCTAACTGGCTTCACTGCTTCCTGTTACTTGCACTCTTAGCACCTAGTAACACCAGCAGCCAGACCTTAGCAGGCGTGCAGCTGACCTTAGGGAAACCCCCTACGCTGACTGTAGAGCAGGACAGTTCTGCAGCGGGCAGGGCCTAGAGGCTGTCACAAGCATGGGTTCAGTAGTCAGTGTTTTCGAGACACCATGTTTAAAATATAGCTGAATTCATAAGGATTCAGATTTCACACTAATCTTACCTTAAATGGGACTGGAATTCTGGCACTAAATATCTTCAAATACAGGAGTATTTACTTTTAATGAGTGTTTGAGAGTCTTCTGAATCCTGTGTCATTCTGCATAAACAGTGTATAGGACTTGACAATTCTGAAAGAAGAATAAGACTCAGTGTAACTGTCAGTCTTACTCAAATAACAGATGAATTTTGCCAGAATTCTGTCTTTTTCCCCGCCCCAGCTCAGAGCTTTGATCTACTTTGAAGGTTTAATATATAATAATATTAGGTTGAGTCACCTTGGAAGCCAGGATTAAATCACTTTATGAAATATCTGTTGTAAATATCTATAATTTAGTACCTTTCAGAGAAATTTATAGAATAATGGTACATTCTGAAGCAGGATGCCATCAGTCTCCTTGTATGGAGTTTTTATAAGCTGAACTTAAGATGACAGAAATGTGAGGTTTGGTAGCCAAGTATTATAGTGAGGTGTGACTGCTCACCATCTTGGCTCTCAGTCCTACCACTAACCCTTATTTTACTGCACACGTGAAGTATCACACAGGACCAGGTCATAGCCGACATCTGATTGCTCCGCCTCTTCGAAGACTTCTTCGTAATGTACAGAGCCGTCTGCACCGTGTGCAGAGCGCATTCTGACCTTGTCCTCCTCATTTCACTAGCATGGTCTCATTCCTTGCTCAGCTCTGTTTCTGTTGCGAGCGCTCTGGTGAAACATGCTTCTGCAGATGGACTCGGCTTCTTCCACTGGACAGTGAGAGGAACAGCATTAAGATGTGAATTGGAATGAGTAATACCAGATTTGAACATAGCACTATGTGAAAGATTCATCACTAAAGCTTTTTGAAAATGATCTGTGACTTGGAGTTTTCATAGAGAGTCGGCTAAAGATATTTGATACTCTTAAGTCTAAAAGTTCTGAAAATTTTGAAGAATTAATTTTACCAGTGGAAAAAGCCAGTATCATTCTTAAAACAAAGCTCAAAAGATACAACGCAATGTTTTTAAAAATAAACAAGATAAAAAATTTGGAATTAAAATGGGAAAAAAAGGTCTCCATGCAGTAATTTATCTAAAGGCCCGCTATAGATTGTCATAAGGTAGAGATGTGTTTCTGTTGAATCTTTTGAGTCTTAGCTGAGGATGGCATCCTCCACAGTGGTGGTGGGAAACCTGAGTAAAGGTGCAGTGCAAAGAGGCGCCCTTCAAAAGGCAGCTGTGTCCCGTCTGCAGTACGTCAGATAAGTTCTGCACAGCAGGCCCTTTTGTAGAAGAAGAGAAACAAAAATGTATTTTTGTGCAAGTTGTTTGAAAAAGAATTTTAATGTGAAAATATTGTACTACTTTTGTGGCCTGTTTAATCCAATATTCATTGCTGTCAGTGTTTGCTAAATAGTTTGAGCATTTGTTACTCCAGCCTGTATTACACTGTCAGCAGATTTTTCAAGTGTGAATTTTTCTAATGCTACAATTAATAGAAATACATTAACACTGATTTACTGTATTATGATTTTAACAATATGACATTGATTGTTACTTGGATACACTTAGCGACATTATTACTTGGATACATTTAAAACTTTGTATCTGCATCACATCTTTTGATCCTTAGCAATCCCCTGAAGCCAGTAGGAACAGGGCAAATGTTGCCGATGGATTGATGTTACACTCACCCAGAATGGGTTGATGTTATTACACTCACCCAGAGTTGCTCTGCTGTCCGAGGCAGAGCGGGGCCGTGGGCAGTATTCCTCTCTAATAATGAAGGGTGTCAGGTCAGTTTTTTAGCACCTTTTGAGAGTAGTAATTGGATTACTCAGGCCACCAACAGAGATGAATTTCAAATTGATGAAATTTTGATACAATATGAAGGGTCTTTTACCTTCCTGCTTAATCAGTAAAGGTATTTTTTTATTCTCTGAGCACTGCATCTTTATCATAAGTAAAGCTTAGAAATAATGAAGTACTTTAACTTGTACTGTTTCTTTCATGGAAAAGGACCAAACTCTTACCCAGGATCTGCCGAAGCAGCTGTTGGAGCCCATGACGCTTATCGGGATGCGAAAGAGAAGCGTTCTAAAAGGTATGGACAGTTGCGCTAGACAAGGAACTTCATCTGTACCTGATGACCCCTTTCACTCTTCATGGCACTTTTAAATTATATAAACAGACTTCATGGCTTCACTCTGTGCCCTCACCTCGATTTTAGTTAGAAATGCTATTGCCCCAAGTGTTCTTAAAACAGTGAATTTGAACTCACCAGAAAAATCATCAGTACCTTTCTGTAACTTATTATTAACTTTGGCATATTTATAGATGCCTCTCAGGTACATGTAAGATTCCTTAAAGTGCTGTATTTTAAAACTGTACCCCTCAGGTTACACTTGTTTAACTGGTAAGAATTGCCTGCTTGCTAAAATCTAACTTACAAGGTTTTTGAGAGTTGACTATGACTAGGGAAAGTTAATGTTTTAGCCAAGAAAACATGTTGCCCTTTTTTTTCTAGATGGGTTTAAATACAGCCCGTGATTTCAATTGTAGGAAAAGTTATAGCACAATTCAACAAAGAATGAGTCTGAAAATTTTAATTGCCGTTATGCAAACGTATGTAATTGTTGACAGGTGGTTTCTAGTTTGTCCAGTAATCTTTCGTATTGCCCTCTTCTGCAGCCAAGATGCAGATTTACCTGGAAGTTCTGGGGCCCCTGAAAACTTGACATTCAAGGAACGCCAGCGTCTTTTTTCACAAGGTCAAGATGTATCCAATAAAGTGAAAGCCTCTCGTAAATTAACAGAACTGGAGAATGAACTGAACACAAAATGAAAAAGAAATGAGGAGGACACTTTGTATTTACCCCAAAATCTTCTCGGTTGTGGGTTTGCAGGTGCGAGTTTGAAGAGGAAGGAGGAAGGGGGTCATATTTCTAAGTGATTTACAATTTCTGTTTCTAAAATTGTTGGGATTTAGAAATGTTTCAATTCCAAGAAATTTTACTTTACCATGAGCTTGCCGTTTACGTAACTTAAACACTGTCTAGTTTCTTAATTATCTAACTCACATGAGGATAAGTTTTTTGTTGGTTTCTTTTTTGGAGTCCTGAGTTCAAAGGGGACAGAACTAAGGGCAGGAGGAGAGAATGGATGTGTCTTCTTTCCCATCTTACCCTCATCATCGACCGAGGAGCACAAAGAAGTTCTGTTTCTGTTTTTTGTTTTTTTCAGAAACTTGATTTTAGCCGTCAAGCAGAGAATAGCTTGAACTATTCAGACTGTTGTTGGCACTGTTTAGTAGTGACCACACACTCT